TTAAAGGTGAGGCGTTTTGCCAGGCCACATGTTGCCACCATGATGCGCCACCTTGACACAGACCCCAAACACAGGCCCCCGATCATGACCTGGGCTTGTGAACAATGAACCAAACCACACCTTTTCTCCTTAGCTCTCTCGTTTTTTATAGTGACAGAAAGCTAGCACCGTCATCCAAAGGACACTTGACCTAAGACTCAGGGACATGCTAGGCATGGTGTCACACACCTACAGTCTTGGCACTTGGGAAGCTGAGGCAGGAGGAGCACTGTGAGTTTGAGGCCAGCTTGGGCTATGTAGCAAGACCCTATCTCAAAAAAAAGAAGTCATGGAGAAAAAGCGAAACAGTTTAAAAAGTCAGACCAACGTTAGTGTGCAGCTCCGTCCCTGGGTTTACGACTGACTTGGGAAGGATCTGAACCACTGCCGAAGATCAGAAGTATTTAGACTCTTGTGTCAGGCTCTGGTTCTGCCCAGCTGCAGGTTCAGCCCCAAAGCAGGATGACGGCCCAGAGTCCAGGCTCAGCGCGACCTCCCCAGAAGCAGCGTTCATCCGCAGCTGCTCCTCGCCAAAACCAATCACTTACTTGCTCAGGACTGCTGATGGGGGAAGCAATGATCTGGCAACAGTTCCCACATTTCGGCACGTATTTCCTGTGAACCAGACATTCCTACCCCTTTTCTCCAGCAACACGGATCGCTGTGAAAACTGGTAATTAGGTACAGTGGATCTCAGCATCATAATCCTTGCACAGTAAAACACAATAAAAGCATCACACACCAGGTCAGAAAACTTTCCACTGATATTAAATAGTAGCATATTAAAAAATAAAAATCAGTAGATGGCCGTGGAGCCTCAGACCTGTAACCACAGCACTCTGGGAGGCTGAGGCAGGGTGACTGCAAGTTTGAGCCTAGTCTGGGTAACTTAGCAACTTAGTGAGCCCCTATCTCAAAACTTAAAAAAGCGTTGGGATATAGCTAGCTTAGAAGACCCTGGGCTCGACAATCCCCAGTATGGAAAAAATAAGTATCAGTGGCAGTAAGCCAAACTATAGCCTTAGAAAATGACTTACAGGAAACCATTCTGGCTGAATGTCCCCCAGACCCCTACAGCAGCGGAGATGCTCAGCCACAGTGAGAGTCACGGTACTGTCACCCCAGATATGAGACCAGGGCCCTGTTCAGATGTGGACATACCGCTCATCCTCGAAGCCTTCAAATGGTGATGCAGTGCAGTACAGGTCCAGACGAGACCTGGTGGTGTGGACTAGGAGCTCACTAAATGCGTTAGTATTATCCCTTAGTCATTGTGGACTGATCAGGCCCAATCTCCCAAACAAGTGGACGGGTTGCCTTGAATAAATGAGTTAAGTGCTATGGTTTTAGGGCTCCAGGAAGATCAAAACCCTCTAACAGAACTGAAGATTCTCTAGGGGCTAAGACAAAGATCTTCTCTGGACGACCAGTATTTATGTAGTTATCAAAACAAGGGAGGGGAATACTGAAGAAAGGGGGGAACAGCTTAGGGACTTCTCCAAGTAAGATATTATGTTAATTTAAGAGAACTATGTTATCTCCTGGAAGGCCTTCACTTCAGAAGTGAGATGCCTGCAGCTAGTCTTTATCTAGTTAATTGAGGTTGGAGCCAGGTGTCTTTAATTGTGGCCTTGTCTTGTCCTTTGAGGAGTCCTGGCTTCACCTGCCATTACAGGCCTCAGCGGTGACCAGTGACTCACAGAGGTTCACTTACTATGAGTCCCTTGCCCATCTGCAGACAAGGAGCCTAGGCCTTGGCCACGCACAAATAAACATGGAAAACCAATTGGTTAATGTTAAATCCTGCTCAGAGCCACTTCGCAGTGGTCTCCATCACTCACCGTGGGGTGGGCCGTGTCCTCCTAACAAGCCTGAGGCCACTGGCACTTGCTACTTCCCCAGTGGAGCAAGAAGTGGGCTGAGCCATCCAGGTCAGTCGTATACCCAGGAGCTGCAGCCCAAACCCAGGAGCTGTACTTAGCTACCACCCCAGGCCGCCCAGCTGGTGGGCTGGGACCATGTACCACTGCTGTGTGTAACCCAAGAATAAGGGAAAATCTTCCACATCTTTGTGCACATTTTGGGAGCAACAGAGACAGATGGATGTCCTGGCCACAGACGATTCCTCATTGCAGACAAGGAAAAGGCACTTACTCCTGATGCGATGAGCAGAAAGAAGGGCCACGGAGCAAATCAGGGCTGACTGAGTCAGGGAGGCTGGGGGCGGCTTTGGGGGTAGAAGGTGACTTCATTGTGCCCCCAACCAGGAGTCTTGGGAGCTGTCTCAGCAGGGAGTGACGTGACCGGAAGGGCAATTGTGGAGGCGCCTCTGCCTACAGCCTTGAAGTGAGGAGACAGGGCACGTTCACCAGGATCCACGGCTTGGGCCCAGGCCAGCTGGCTCACAGAGCAGCTGCTGAGCACAACGGCCTCCTCTGCTCACAAGCTGCTGAGTGGCTTTAAGACAGGCAACTGCTCAGGACAAAAGCCAGAAACGCCCCTTCACAGGATCTATCTCGATCACTTTGCCTCTTTCCAAGTGCTCGGACCTTAAGACAGCCCCCGCCTTCATCACTCCTGCACTGTCTCCCCAAGTTAGCCGTACCCTTAGGCCAGGTTTTACATTTACTAAGCAATTCTCCAGTGGAGCATTAAACTTACTTTTTTAACTTTTAGAGACAGATTAGCCTGTGTGACCACGCTCCAAGCATGAACACTTCAGCCCTCACCACGTCAGCATGAGGTCGCATGCCACCCAGGAGGGCTCCTTCTTCAAGGTGACCCATCTCCCCACATCTAAGTGAGCTACTCAGGGACTGTAACGCGGGCTCTCTCAAGCTGGCTCTCAGGATTTTCATAATCACAGGAAAGCCACAGGTCCCGGATCTGCACAGGTGAATTCACTAGGGCCGGTAAAAGATAAACTCATCGTGGAAAAGTTGCCTCGACAAGCACGGGCTTGTAATTCCAGCACTCCGGAGGCCAACGCAGGAAGATCACAAGTTTGAGGCCAGCCTGGACTATGTAGCAAGTTCAAAGCCAGCCTGGACTACATACAGACCATCTCAGAAAAAAAAAAGTTACCCTGGCAAGGGGTGTAGCTCAGTGACAGAGGGTGTACTTGGCATGCAGGAAGCCTGAGTTAAAGCCCCAGCACCAAAGGAAAAAAGTCACCTTCTGTCCTAAAAGAGCTCCACAGTTTATTGCTTAAAGTGATGACATTTACTAATCCAACATGCTTGAAATCATCAAAAGATCTAATCTGCTGTAATAACTTCATCTACTTCTAAAGGGTCCAATAACATGACATGGAATGACAATAACCCAATTCAATCACAATGACACAAGCCTAAGAACCACCCTGGGAGGATAAGTGATTCTGTTATTCGGACAAGGAACTTGGTGTCACTGTTCTAACTCTCACAGTGAGTTCCCTGGCACAGGCTATCAAAATTACTTAGACCACACTGATAGCATCCTCAATTTTCCACTTGGTAAAGACATGTTAAGCATATAGAAAAGCTTAGCAATTAATTTCCGGAAAGAGTATTACACTTCTCATAGAGTTCAGTGATTTCTTACATTTCTAAGTTCTCTGGTGGCTTTGCTATGATCTTCCTGATTCATGGGCACAGGAGCTAAATTATTTATCGGCAGCCTTCTCCTCACCCTGATATCCTGGAGATTTCTTAGGTCAATGTTTCCCTGCTAATAAGTTTCTTGCTATTTCATGTTTTGCACGAAACCCTAGGGGAACACAGGCAGATTCACAAAAAAAGCCAGAAGCAGCATAAAAGCAACTGGGGATGAGGGGATGATTCTGCAGATGTCTAACCTGCTGCCTGGTACCCAGGTAGAGGCAGGAAGGTGACGTTACTGGTGTTCTTTCCAAAGGACAAGGATCATGAGCACATGCCCTCCTCCCTGAGTGCCTCCCACCCATGGAGCACAAGGTTCACATGGGGTTCTAATCTCCTCTAAAATCCCAAGCCCAGCTTACAGCCACCCAAAGGGAAGCTACAGTTCACGCCAAGAAAAACCTCCTCCTGTGAATAATCTGCTTTTCTTTGCCCTGCAGCTAGGGAGCTGATGACTGGAGGAGGGGGTGGCAGTCCTGTGCTGTGGCCCAACTGTCCCCCGTGCAGTGGGGGTGGGCTACAGCTTTCCTGTGGGGATCCCAGCTGCTCTGGGCAGGGTACCAGCAGGAGCAGCGACCTACGAGGATCTGAAAATCCTGTCTGCGAGGAGGATCAGCCCACCACAATCACACCATCTCCCAAAAGGAGTCAGTTTCTGGAGCTGCCTTCTCAAGGGGAGTTCAAGCCAAATGAGTAACGGACAGGGAGGCCTAAGACCAGCGGGGGAAGCAGCCACTCTCCTGCCCTTTGCCCTGGGAGGAAAATGCATCCTTCCTTCCGCTTTCTGCCACCGCAACAACGCCCTTCTAAAGGAATATCATTTAGCCTGTGATGAATGGAGGCTTCTGGCACAGCCACCTGGATGGGAAGGGGCTCTATCCCCCAACTCCACCCTGCCACGGGGAAGGCCCCTGCTCCTTCACCCAGTCTCGGGACAGAGAAGCACAGAGGGAATCTTGTCCTGACACATGTACCAGGGGAGCCTCGGCTCAGCCGGGATTCCAAGTAGTTCACTTTGAGAAATAAAACACTCATGAGATGCCACCCCTCGGTGGACAGGTGATGCCCTTTCTGCACCTAACTGTGGCACAGCTCGTGATACCGGGTTCCAAGACAGGCAGCAGGCCGCCTCCCCTGGCCTTGGCCACCTCCTGTCCTTCTGGCCACCTGCCTCGGAGAAGCTGTAGTGCTGCCCGGTGGCCACTCCTGCAGCACACTCAGCAGCAGACCTGAGAACCAACGCCGCTCACCCAGCACAGAAGGCCCAGGCCCTAGGAATCCTACAGGTGTGCGACCTTCTGGACGAATAACTCACATGCGTGGTATCGGAAATGGCAGTTTATTTAAAAAAAACAACACCCAACAATCGTGTTTTCTTCTCTCTCCTTCATTTTCCTTAACAGAAGTTACCAAAAGACAGAGAGGATAGTATCTTTGCAGATGGACACGTCTGCAAGTCACAAACAGCTCCCGAGTCAGGCAAAGAATAAAAGACGATGTAAGAACAAATTCTGTTACGGCAATATCGTAATACAACATGAATTATTACAGTGCAGTGGTTGTCATGAAGTTCACAACAGGGTACTCTTAGCCCAAAAACCAGACACACTGAAAGCACCGCGCTTCTGAGCCAGGAGGACCAGCGCCAGCAGCCACTGCAGCAGGGGACAGCGGGATAAGGCTTTTCCGGCAGCAAGTCTCTGCGCCCAAGGCCCGGCCAGCTGTCACTTCGAGTCTTGGTCTTTCTTTTCATCTAAAAGGGCAGAGCGGATCCCCAGCTTTTTCAGTTCTTCCACCAGGTCCCCATTCTGGTGCATCTGCAGAAGGATGTCACAGCCCCCCACAAACTCGCCGTTGAGGTACACCTGCGGGATGGTGGGCCAGTTGGAGTAGTCTTTGATGCCTGAGGACGGAACAGAGCAGTGTTACTGGAGCGGCCATGGGATACGCAGAGCACAATAAACACGACATTCACCCACTCCCAGCAGCAGACCCGCCATCCCTCCTGGACTCTCCTACTCCCGGAGAGCGACGGGTTTTAGCATTAAACAGACCGGTGTGTAACTCTGGCAACTGTAAACCCCAGGGCCTCAGACGGTAGCTTGGTTGCCACTGGTGATTCCCTTCACTGCCTAGGTTTCCTAAGAACTGGGCTGGTAAAGTTCAGCTCCGGCAGAGCTTAAGCACCCAGACACACAAAGCTGAAACCTCAAGAAGCTGTCAGTCATGATCACGTTCTCAGGAAATACAGCCAGAAGCAAAAGACAGCTCACTTCTCAGACAGGAGGCCACCGTGTCCCCACCTCTCTCCACTGGGCACCATCAGGTCCCTGCGCTCAAGAGCTAAGCTGCTGACTTTTATCTTTAACAGTGACTTTACCCAGAGAAAACGCCCTGTGCTACTACTGATTACACATGTGGGAAGCTTTTATATAGAGACAGGTATTTTTAAATAGCAAAAATGAGCACATGGATAAAACATAAACAGGTTCTTCAAGCAAAATACACTCTTGTGCAAATAAATCAGTCAAGTCGTACTTTTTATGTAGGTAACTAAAGCCTGTTCTTGATATCCACTACTCACTATCATTTATTTTCCAAATAAAATTTCCAGTGAGTTCTATCACAAGCAACAACTCCAATTTACAATGTGTTTTTCTCTTAAATGTTATTGCCATCTAAAAATATGGTGACTGTGCTCTAAATGACAGGGCTAGAGAAAGCTCTTGAGCCACTGGTTTTATCTTTCTCCCCCAGACATTACACTTTAAGAAATGGCCATGCCTGAGCATGGAGGTGCCTGCCTGTGATCTAGCATCGGGTGGTTAAGGCAGAAGAATCTTAGGTTCAAGACCAGCCAGGGCCACATAGTGAGACCCCGTCACCTTCTCCCCACAAAACAGTCACAGCCTGGGCCAGGGACACAGCTCAGCGCTAGAGTGCTTGGCTAGTACGAGCGAGGCTCCGGATTCAAGCAAGGAGGGAAAGAGGGAGGTAAGAGCCACAGTGCCGCCAAGCTCAAAAGCACACTTCTCAGCCGCTCTACGTATCTGTAAAAAAAATCAACTAGAGGTCTGGGAGCTACCAATGAAGAGCAAATTCTAATTATGGAAATGTCTTTTACTACAACCCCTGCTGTGTTCAAGTTTTTCATCACTCTAACATTTAGTGCTGTGGAAACAAAAATTTGCTGCACATGAGTTATACACGCCGTCTTCTTTTTTTTGGTGGGGCGGGGGCGCAGTAGGGATTAAACCCAAGGCCTCTGCACTGAGCTACATCTCCAGCCCGTCTTTTATTTTGAGACGGTCTCACTAGATTGGCAAATTGCCCAGGATGGGCTTGATTCTGTCTCACAAAGTGCTGCGATTACAGGCATGTGCCACCGTTCCCTTTGTAACCCTGCCTCAAATACAGCCTATGGGAACTTACAACAATGCCTGGTTCAGATCTCTTACCCTAGGATGACTGAGGGTGGAGCATGGAAATTCAGAAATGTTTAAAGAGTTGTTCCTTTTCATTCTAAATATCTTTTAAACAGATGAACACTTTCTGTGCAAGCATGACATATCTATTTCTTTTAACTAGTAATATAACCCACGATAAATTTTGCCAATTATTTTTGACTTGTGCTACAATTCTGAAACCAAGACTGAACAGAAATTCGTTGCCCAAAATGAACAGAATTTTGCTGCCTGAAGACCACCCAAACCGCATTTTTAATCCTAAATGGTGTAACTCTGTTTAGGTAAAATCTCTGCTGAGTAGAAGGATCACCTGCTCTTCACCTAATGCCATCTCCAATCGAAGTATTAGGCTTGTCTGGTCACTAACCTCTGTAGCTGCAGACCATCCACCCACTGGCCAACAGGCAGAACTTGCACCCAAACCACCAACGCCGGGCCCCTCACACCAGGCTGGATTCCAGAGCATCTCCAACACCCACAGGTCACATACAAAGGAAACTGGCCCTTGCAAACCACTGTCCTGGGCTGTTTCAACTCATAACCGACATTTCAAGAAATCAGAAAAATTCCTGGGGAGCTAGTGGTGCACACCCGTAATCCTAGCACTAAGGAGGGGAGGCTGAGGCAAGAGGGTCACAGGGAGTGAGGCCAACTGGAGCTACACAATGAGTTCAAGGTCAGCCTAACCTACACAGTGAGATCTTGTCTCAAAAAGAAAAAAGGAATCCGATCATGAGTTTAGTATCTGAACACTCCCTGCACAGCGAAGTAAGAAATTTCTAATAATTAAAGACCACGGTTCTTAAGGTGAAAAGTAAAATGAATCTTATGAATTCACAATGGTTTTTTTGGGTTTTTTTAAGAGGAAAAAAAAAATTTCAAAACAAGGTACAGTAATAAGAGGATAAGAATGGTATCAATACCCAATGATAACATTGGGTATTGTTATCTTTATTAGTTACAAGATGTAAGTATTTAACTGTCCAAACCATATTAACAAAAACTTTTCTTTTAAATGAAATAAGAGAAATTAGTAGTATAACTATCATAACTGTCTTCACAATTATTTTTAAACATTTTTTCTCTTATACTTTAGTTTTCAAAAATTCCAATGCACAGTGATAATCCCTATAAACATCACTTCATATAACTCAAAGTCAGACAGCAACTCTTGGGAATCAGCGAATCAGACCCAAGAACAAATTTTAATGAAAATCCTATTTCATATGCAGCACATAAGAGATCCAATGTGGAACAGAAAATGCTGACTCCACAGTTACACAGAAGAGTAGCGCTGGCCCTGGGATTTAGGAGGCTCTCTTACAAAATCAGTTCATGTACATCTGCTCCATCAAAAAAATAAACAAATGATGATGATGGTGATGATGTTCCGGTATTGAGCCAGGAATGGCAGGGAAAACACACTCGAAATCCCCTCCCAGAACTTTCAAAACGTACTTCCCCAGCTCATCACATTTCGGAATCCTGGGCATCACACCTGGCTGGGACGCTAATTAATGCAAAGCACTACAGTCACACAAGTCCTAAGCACACCAACTCCCGGCTCATTTTCCCCGACTTGGAAAATGGTGATGAACCACAAGAGAGGAAGACAGCATGAAGACTGGTGGACGGGCTCCAGCTGAAGGTCACAGCCCTAGCTTGCTGGCTGGTAAGTGCAACTCAAAGGCCTCTTGTAGCCACAGCCTCAGTTTCCTCATCTGCAAAATGGGCACAACACAAGCTACCCCAGAAGGTTAAATGAGACAAAACTAATGAAATGACTCCAGCTCCTAACAGCACAGGTCCAAGGTGCACATTAGCTCCACATAAATGTCCTCCTCTACTGCACTCCATAGCAATGCTTTTGGGAAATGTGAGAGGAACCACAGGGAAAGAATGTAGAACGCAGCAAGCTGAGTACGCCATGCACTAACATCAGTACCATTCGCTGAGCTTAGGATCACTGGGTTTTATATCCATGAAATATTTTCTACAAATATCTTATCCACTCTTTACAAACGCCACACAAGTTCGGTATGTATCTGTTTTACCGAAGCAGCGGCTCAGGCCGAGAGGTTAAGCAGCCTACCCAGTCACGGTGTTGGCTTGGGGTGGAGCTCGGCTTTGCACTGAGGCTCCTCATCACACACTAGCTGGGTCTCTCACCACAGGGCGCCTACAGATGGCAGGCCTCCTGCACTGCACATGTAGCTGCAAAGTATGGGGCTGTCTTCCACCTGGAACATGTATGTACACAAATGGCATTTACACGGTATGCCCAGAATTACTCTTTGCAGCTTGTTACTTGTTTGTTTGTTTTTAAATAGGGCTCCTAAATAGGCAGGCTGGAGTCACATTTATGATCCTCAGGCCTCAGCCACTCAACTGCTAGGATTATTGGCGTGGAGCTACCATGGCTAGTTTGCAAATTACTTTTTGACTAAACACTGTATTTCTGAAATTTAGCCCTTCTACTTCATTTTAACTAGAATTTAGTTTTCTAAACTACACTTTATCTAGGGTGCTAGTAAGAGACCAAGATCCCAGTTTTGCACCCTTACAAATCATGCTATAATGATCGAGTTACATATGGCTCCTGACACACATGTGCAGAAGTCCATCTCTTAGATCTGGCAGTGGCAAACCACGGCCTTGAGGCCAAACTAGTGCACTTCCTCTTCTGGCTTTTACAAATAAAGTTTTATTGGAACTCAGCCATATTCACACAGCACACAGAGACTGAAGTGTTTTACTCTGGCCCTTGAGAGAGGAAGTCAGCTAATCCCCAGTCCAAGATGCCCGCCTGAGAGTGGAGCCACTGGGTCCAGGTTCATCTGCACCTTGCTGGGCACTGTCACTTCCCCAAAGTGCTGGTACTGGGTTCTACTCCCATCCACAGCACACAACTTGTCCCGCACACAGGCACACATCCACAACATGTTACCCAACTTCCAAAGTTCACCACTGTAATCAGCGCTTTCCTGCTGCCTTACACTCCCTGACAATAGAAAGGTGGAGCATACTTTCAAATCCTTAATAAATACTACACAGGAGAATACAGGAGAGGAGGCCAGGGGATGGAGGAAGAGGATGGCAACAGTGAAGGCACAGCCTGACACAAGGAACAACTTCTAAAATGCCCTAGCCATGGGCTACCTGTGGTGAACAACTGACAGCTAAGGGAACAGATTCGGATGTTCCTGCCCCAAAGAAATGGTAAAGTCTGAGATGATGGCTATGCCAACTGCTCTGATCTGAGCACACACTGTATACGCCCACTGAAATGTCACACTGCACCTACACGTGTGGCGGACTATACGCAACTAGAAATTTGGAAACTAATAAAGAAGAAATGGAAAAATAATAGGACAGTGGTTATTTACTCAACGCATATTTAAATCCCTATTGTCAGACACTGCTCCCCATCTGGGAACACAATGGGGATCTAAACAAGCAGAAATCTTAAAATGTATGTTTATGAGCACAGAAGTGTTTCAAATATGATGATAAATAAAAGAAGCCTTTATTTATTCATCAAGACATTCCCTGAAATCCTAGCACTTGGGAGGCTGAGGCAGGAGAATCAAGAGTTCAAGGCCAACCTAAGCTACACACAGAGACCCTGTCTCAAAACAAAACAAAACAAAACAAAACAAAACAAAACAAAACAAAACAAAACAAGAAACCATTCCTGAAAGCCTGCTTTGTACAAGCCTGACATGCGTGTCAAGGGCAGTTGCATAAGACCTGCTGTCTGGAGGGCAAACACCAGGCACAAGTGAGCAGGATCTCAGTTACAGGAGAGGCCCTAAACTGGGACCCTAGGAACAAAGGTGGCCTGGAGGTGGTCTGTCTGGTGTCTATCTGTCCTGAGTGTGCTGCAGGTACAAGCAAGATAAGAAGGCTGCTCCTCACCACACATCTAGACCCCAGGCACAGGAACCTGTACTGCTGGGCTTCTGGCCCTCTAAAGCTTACTTTCTCTAGCCAGAGAAAAAAAGAAGGGTCAGTTCTTTGGGAGCCCTGCTGCTTTCACTCAAGGACCCTGAGCCTGGGCAAGGTGAGCAGATACAGCCTGGACTAGCAGAAGCAAGCACCAAGAAGCCCACAGGCTGCTTTCCAGAAAACTCAGGTAGGGGGCAAAGCAATGAAGTTTTCAAGCTGTAAAGTCCTGGTGTGGCTAAAACAGGGCCTACTGTGGGTAAGCCCCACCGTTAGCACTAAGGCTAATCTTCACTCTGCAAGCAACACACCCAGCACTCTGGCAGGCTGAGCTTCGAAGGACTGCGACTTTGAGCCCCACCTGGGCAATTCAGCAATTTGGTGAGCTCCTGTTTCAAAACAAAGTCTTTTAAAAGGCTGGGGAGGTAGCTTCGTGTGAAGGCCCTGCAGTGACTCCCCAGTACTGTACTGCAAAAAATAAGGTGTACACTATACTCTGTGTTTAAGCAATATGTTTATTAACCAAAAGAATCCCGTCTGGTGAAATCCAAGAGTCAAGAAATATAAGGGTTAAATTCCACTTGCTATTAAGCACTCAAGGACACAGATCAGAAGCCCTGTGCCAAATGGAAATCGGAAACATTAGCGCTACTAGTAATCAGCTTATTTCTGCTCCCATTTTCAGTTTATTAGCCTTATTTCAGGGTTATTCAAGGAATAAGGAAACAGATTCGGAGGTTCCTGCCCCAAAGAAATGGTAAAGTCTGAGGTGATGGCTATGCCAACTACTCTGACCTGAGCACACACTGCATACGCACAAGGTTATTCAGCCTTATTTTATTAGCCGTATTTCCATTTTGTACCGAACCAGAAACAGTAAATCCACAAACCAAAGGTCCTCAACACATTACACTAAGCAAGACGTCAACAACATAATTTTTTGTTAATGGTCACACTGGGAATTTGTAGGGGACCTACAGCAAGGTTCAGCCGAAAGACTGCAGAGCAGCTACCCTTATCTTTGAAGCCAAGAAGCTGCCAGAGTGGCCACAAGATGCCTCTGTGCACGATAAACCTGAGCTTCGCAACTGCGAACTCCAGTTGATCAGGAAGACACCAGAGTCGTGAGTGTAACACCTTCATGTGGCATAAACCTTCTCCTCTCCTCCACTTCACATGCCTCCTGGGTTCCGCCCACCAACCCACCACCCGTGGCAAACTTTGGATCAGCAACCATGGAGAATTCTACCATATACCAGGCACTTTCTGCACCAGATGAAAGGATATGCACTTGCTGTAACTTTTACTTTTTTCCTTCCCTCCAAAAACTGTGCCAAGTTGGGCCTTACTTACCTCACTTTACTGAAAAGGAAAATGCAATCAGATGACCGTTTACGGTTGTATCCCTAACCAACTGGCCACAAAAATGGACTCCAGTTCAAAAGCGCTTTCCACAACACCAGCCTGTCCCCCCAGTGCAATGCAAGACGGTGGTTAGTAATTTCCAATCGGAGCAGCAGTGGTACCGCCACAGAACCTGGAGTCTCTTCAACACTAACCAAACAAGAGCACAAGGCCAGGCAGACACAGGGACCCCGCTGTCTTCCCACCTCTCCACCTACCCCAACCAAGCCTGGAGAAGGCGGACAGGCTCCTGCGCCTGGTCCTTTTCCCTACGCCCACAGGATAGGAGAACAGCTTAAAGAATGCCAAGGACCAAAAAAAAAAAAAAAGAATGCCAAGGACCTGTCAGAGCCCCCCTCCTCCCCCCATCTCGGCTCCTCTGGCTCCTATCCCTCAGGCCCCAAGCTTGGCGCAGTGAGTTAGTTCACACGGGCCCAGAAGCCCCTTCAGGCCCCAAGCCCCCCACTTTGCTCCAGGTGCTTGAGCATCTAAAACCAAAAGTCCTGCCTCCCCTCGAGCCACCACGAGCACAGGCCCCAGGCACGACAGCTGGACTGAGAAGGGGCCGCTGCTTTCGCAAAACAGGCCAGTGGCTTCCCAGCTCCTCTGTGTCTCTCGAAGTGGCTACCTCGTGGGGGGAACCACTGTGAGCCCCCGCTTTGCCCCCACTTCCCCAGCCCTACAAGGCGGGGAGCCACTCTGCTGGCCGCCCTCCTCGGACCCCGCCCGCGAAATTCGCGCCGAAATGTCCACTTCACCTCGAAGAGAAGTCGGGGAGCCCCTAGATCAGACCCACTGGCCAAGCAGGGCCCCAGCCCCTCAAGATCTGCCCAAGTCAGTGGCGCCCTCACCCTACCCTCTACCCAGAGTAGGGCTCCGCGCCCTAAAGCTGGAGCCCAGGAACCCCGACACTCCAGAATGCCGCGCGGCCAGGCCACGCGCCCCCCGCCCTGCCCCGCCCCGCCCGCGGCCTGACCTTGCCGGAGGTCGGGGTCTTCCAGGACGTTGTAGGCCGCGTAGTCGCGGACGCCGTGCAGCCGCAGGATCTGCACCACGGCGTTGCTGAAGCCGCACTGGGGCTGTTCAGGCGTCCCCTTGAGGAAGACCACCACCTTGTCCTTCTTTACCAGCGCGTCCAGCTGCTCCGCCTGGCCGCCGCCCGAGCCCGAGCCCGAGCCCGAGCCCGCCGCCCGCACGCCCGCACCCTGCAGGCCGATGCCGCCCGTTCCGCGGCCCCAGCGGAGCAGAGCCGCCGCCGCGCGGCGCAACGTCCCGCTCATCACCGCTCGGCCGACGGAGCCCCAGACAGCCCGGAACCTTTGCGCCCTCCGCCAGCCCAGTCCCGGCCCGTGGCGACCCGCCCCGCCCCCCGGGGGTTCTCATTGGACTGGCTCCAGACTACTCTCCGTGATTGGGCAACGGCTAGTACTCGATGCTACCAATCAGCTTGCTTATTCTGGTTAGTGGGCGGTAGCCCGCAAAGGCCTGACCCGCGTCCTACATGCATTCGATTGGCTGTCGGCACCCGTTTCGTCAGTTGATTGGAGAAGTGAATGTTCATCAGAGTCCACGCCGAGGGCATAGAGACAAAACTCCGGCCAGACGACTTTCCTGCGGAGAGCGGACGCGGCCCCGTAGGATTCCTTGGGACCCGGAGGGAAGGTACTGGGCGGGGCTTCGCTTTTCCAAGGGACGCCGGGAAGGGGTCACTTCCGGGGGAGTTTCGCTTCCGGTGTCGGAGGCGGTCCCCTGAGCAGGAAGAGGGGTTCCTGCTGCAGCCCTCTCCCCCGCGGAGGGGAGCATCTCAAGTGCCTCGGAGGACCGCGCCGGACTCAGTCGCCCCACCGCGCACGTGTGGGCTGAGGACCGAGCCTCGCGGTTGTATCTCTAGGACAGTTTCTGTCCTTAGTAGTGTGTCACGTGCACCAGCCTGTCACCGCCGGGTTTCGGTCCTCGCGGCCTTCCAGCCCACCTTTGCCCACGCTCCTGGTCTCAGGCAAGGTTTGTTGCACCGAGAACTGCAGGCAATGGGTTGGCGGGCTGGTGGCGCGCGCTTGCAGTGTCAGCGCGTGGAGGCTGAGGCAGGAGGATCGCTTGAACTGGGAAGTTCTAGACCAGCCTGGACGATGTGGGGAAAACTTGAAAAGAGAAAGGAGTATTTGGCAATACCGCATAGTGTTAGCAGGGGACGTCCAGGGAGGCTGGGTGCCCACAGCTTGTCGTTAGCATGAGAAATGAGTAGCAGATAGCCAGTGGGGCCCGTGGGAGAGAAAGAAAGCCTCCTCTGTGCTCTCCTTGCTGTTGTACAGATCATCGCTTGAGATCGAGTCACTAGCTGGAACAGTGCTTAGGATCTGCTTAGTGGCTCAGTGTTGAAACGGGTGAATCCTACAAGTAGGACGCCGTAGATCGCTGTCTGTTCTGTAGTCTTGAAGCCGCGCGGGGTTGGTGGTACCCCGGAGCGCACCAGACTTGCAGACAAAGCATACTCCGGAGGAAGCTGAGGCATGCCTGCTCGAGAGGCAGCAGTTCTATGTGCAATGTTCCTCTGATAGTTTCTGGGTACTGTTGCCACGGTGGTAATGGCTGTGCCGTGTCATTATCGATCCACCAACAGTTAGAGAAGCTTTGCAGTCAAGATATTGTTTAGCAGACATAGTGCGTTCTGTTGGACACTAAGTACTGCTACAAAGTAACTCTTTTTTTAAAATACTGAGTTGTTTAGAAAATACTACAGAAGCTGGGCATGGTCCCAGAAGTCTGGGAGGCTGAAGCAGGAGAATGGAAAATTTGAGTCAGGCGGAGGCATTTTAGCAAGACTCTGGCCCAAAATAAGTAAAAAGGGCTGGGTGTGTTGGGTACGGAGGTCTTTGTTTCATTCTCCAGGACTGCAGAATAAATAGACTCAGCCTGTCACCCAGGAGCTCTTTATTGGCATCTTTTCACCCCACCAGTGTTACTAATGCTTGCTAATTTTCTAATATGGGACTGAAAGTTAGAATCTTTGTTTTGCAGACCCATTGATTCCAGGTAAATCGGAAGAACAAGCATCATGAGGCATGGCACACACGTGGAAAACGCTACTGCGCTGAAGCACCTGCTGTCTCAGAAGCCGTTGATGTGATGTGGTACCCTTAACAATAGAGAATACACGAAATTCGTCCCCAAAGCATCCATTTACTCATGCTTACATTGGAGTAAATTCCTTTTTTAAATTTACTTATTTTATGTTTTTGAGACAGGGTCTTGCTGTGCAGTTCAGGCTGGCCTTGAGCTCACTTTGTAGCCCAGGCTGATCTCAAACTCACAACGATCCACCTGCCTCAGCCTCCCAAGTGCTGGGATTACAGGCATGCACCACCATGTCCGGCTCTAAGTTCTTTTTTAAAAAAAGTAAATATGACAGTTTGTTCCTAAAAACTTACACTGTTTGTTGCTTACTGTAAACTGCCTAATTATGCTTTCGTGTGGCCTGGGAGAGAGAATTCACAAACTTCTGAGGATCTGAGATGGAGTTATAGTAGAGCAGTAGAGAGTATCATATCCCTGGGGGCTAGGGGTTTAGCTCAAGGGCACAGCGCCTGCCTGACAAGCGCAAGGTTGTGAGTTCGATTCCCGGTACTGAAGAAAAACCAAAAAAAAAAAAAAAAAAGTATTACTGGAGAAAAACCAAAAAAAAAAGAAAAAAGTATCATATCCCTAACCTATTATATAATACTGGCTTCTCAAGTACAGTTGGTTTATTTAGTTATCAGATGTTTTATTAAGTTGAGAATACAGCAGTTGTGAAAAATTGAAAGTAATTGTTGAGCAGGAAGAGTACAAAGCCCGTTTTTCAAAATAAGAGTGGGGCCCCTGGGCTTTGTAGAGTAGGAGATAAGAAGATAAGTGAAAGCTAAGGGATGGGAAGGTGTGGGAACTCCTTCCAGAGCTGCAGGGACTGGCTTTGCTAGCAGAACCAGGGCAGGAAAGCAGCTCAAGTTTCTCAGCCAAAGAAATTGAAGTGGTGAGTCTAACTCTTCAGGGGGCTTCGGATGTAGCTGGCTGGTTGAGCGCTTGTCTAGCATGCACAGGCCCCAAGCAAACTCTGGTTTTGATAAAATACTGTTCCTGGAGTACTAGGACCCAATAGCAATGAGCTTTTGCTGCAAAGAAAGCAACATTCAGAGTATTTCTTCCAAAGCATTAGCTGGGCGTGGTGGATCACACCTGTAATCCCAGCACTCGGGAGGCTGAGGCAGGAGGATTGTTGTGAGTTCAAGGCCAGCCTGGGCTACAAAGTGAGCTGAAGGCCAGCCTGAACTGCACAGGGAGACCGTGTCTCAAAAAGTCAAAAAAACAAAACAAAACAAAAAAACCAAAGCATTAAACTTTGACTATGATTTGACACTTTGGTTTTGAGATTCTTCTTTATATAACTCTTAATGATGAAAGCCTGACAAAATACACTTCTAAAACAGTGGTCAGAAATCTGCACTTGGACTGTGGTCCTGGGTCTCTCTCTCAGGACCTAAAGTGGGGAAGGGAGTGAAACATCCACAAAAACTGGATCCTACAGCTGGGCTCATAAAATTAAGTCCCAAATTAACTAAATCCCAGACTAGTCACACCCTGTGATCATGCTGACTCAGCCTAAAAATGTTTTCCTTGTCTAGAGATAAGGCTTCACTGTATTTGGTAAGAACCCTTCCTTCCGCCCACCTTTCCAAAAGCGAATTCACCATACAGTCCATAGCGAGAACACTTGCAGTTTGAGGTAGGCCCTTCCTCTGTCTCCACCCCAGCGAAGAGCCCAAGGGTCCAGGTGAGGCTCCCCAGCTGGTCCGGACCCTCAGCAAGGCGCTGTTCCCCTCCCTTGCCTTTCTCTCAGGGCTGCATTCTTGTACCTCAATCTTGAGCAGCTGTTAGAGGAGAGGGTATCTCCCAAGTCCCTGGTACGGAAGTGTCTGTCCTGGGTCAAGTGTCCTGAGAGAAAAGTAGCCGCTTGGGTTACACCAGGGCGGAGCCACCACGCATTCCTGAGCTAAAATAGCATCTGGGACGCTGAGCTGCAACCTGAAACCTTGCTGTGTGGAGCCCTCGCTCTTATCTGTGACTACAGCCATCGCTCCCTGCAGCCCTATGATTAAGCTCACTCCAGCAACACCAGAACAGTGTGGTGGTGAGAAAGGGCAAATCCAGGCCCTCCCCCAGCATCTGATTCCCAGCACCAAGCTGGCGATGCCTCTTGGATTCCAGCTTCCTCTGTCTGACAGGGTAGCTGTGTTTATAACCACTGCCCAGGTGTGGGAATGGCCTCGGTTTTGCTAATCCTGTTGGTCCTGCAGGGCCGGCCTGCTGTAGTGGGGTGTGGTGAGTCCAGAGCAGACCCGAGGAGGCAGGGGAGCATTTGCAGAAGCCTGAAACCCGCAGGAACCTGGTTCTGCTTGGGATTTGGAGTACGTGGTGTAGGCCTGGGTTCCAGTCATGAAATACAAGTTTTGGTTCACCTTGGATTTTCCTGATTTCCCCTTCATGGATTTCTGAAAACTACTTGTGATGTCTGTTAAAGGTTATGCATATTTCAAGATTTGCTTGCATGAGGACTGCAGAGTTGAGAGAACCAGTTTGTACTCTGTTGCTCTGCTCCAAAATGATTACTCTAATATAGATAACTAAGTTAGGTAGAAATACTGTAGGCAGTCAGACAGGGCTGAGCCCTCCAGAGGTTAGTGCAGAAGACAACTGCAGGTGGAGACTATTCACTGCAGGCCAGGCTTCAAGAAAAAGAACTCACCCACATATTTCCCCTAGCAATGAACAGCAGTGATTGATATTCTAAGAAGGCATCAAGCACCTTGGGGTAAAGGACCAAACCTCCTTAACCGACCCCTTCTAGGATCCCAAGTGCATTTGCTGCATGACTTGCTTCGCAATTTGATCCCCATTTAGTCAATATTACCCATGACTATACCTGTTGTAACCTTACTGGTTCACCATAGTCTTGTCCTACCTCATACCCACCTTGTGATTTCTCATTGGATCAATATTACCTAAGTGCCTATACTCATAAGCTTATTGATTGATGGTAGTTCTGTCCCACCTTGAACCCACCTCACCTCGTGGCTTTGCTCAGTAAAACACCCTTGAGAAGCAGGGTTAATGGGCAGCCACTTTCTGGCCCCCTTCTGTCCCTCTCAGCAGCTTTCTTTCTCTCAATAAATGTTTCCTACTTTTAACCTCTGTTGTTCAGAGAACTCATTTCTCAATTTTAGAGAACACAACCACAACCTTGGCATTTTGGACATCTACATGTTGGGAGTTTCCCCTACATCACCAACATGATGCCATCTTGTGTGTTTATGGCAATGTTTTGTTCAAAACAACTTTGTGGGGCTGGGGATATAGCTCAGCTGCACAGTGCCTGCTTGGCAAATGTGAGGTCCTGAGTTTGATTCCCAGTTCCAAAAAAAAAAAAAAAAAAAAATTGTGTACATAGGTCCACTTGAACCTGACATTAATCCTGAGATAATGGTTCACCAAACTGTGTTCCCTTTGATACTTAACATCTTATTTTATTTTTGTTTTTTTCTGGTACCAGGAATCAAACTCACGATGTTGCGCTTGCCAGGCAGGCTCTGTGCTACTGAGCTAAATCCCCAGGCCCTTGACGTCTTATTTTAGAAGACAGCTAACATTTATTGCCTTCACCTGCAATTTTTATTTTCCCACTGAATCATACCATGGCCAGCAAGCCCAGCAGAAATTCCTGTCTGAATGATGCCTGCTGGCCCTGCCTATACACATGGTGGACCGGTGATTTTTTTTTTTTTAATGCTTCGTAAAATTACGAGGACAACACTTCAACGCAAAGATGTGGCTAGGTGTGGTGGTGCACGCCTATAATCCCAGCACTCGGGAGGCTGAGGCAGAAGGATTGTTGTGAGTTTGAGACCACCTTGGGCTACAGAGTGAGCTCAAGGCCAACCTGAACTGCATAGCAAGACCCTGTCTCAAAAAGACAAAAAAACCAAAGATGCGATACAGGAATCAGAAGCACAGTCCTTGCCCCTGGAAGTTGTCTCTGCTGTTGTCCTTGTGCCATTTTCTCACACTGAGCATCAAGCTCTCAGGCCTTTAAAGTCCTGATCTGAGCCTGGCGTGGTGGTGCACACCTGTAAGGAGGCTGAGGCAGGAGGATCATTTCGAGTTCAAGACTGGCCTGGGCTACAAAGGCCAGCCTGAGGCCAGCTGAACAGCTCAAGGCCAGCCTGAACTGCATAGCAAGACCCTGTCTCAAAAAGATAAAAATAAATAAATAAAATCCTGATCTGTTGACTTTGTTCTACTGAGAACCCTGTTTTATCCCAAAGAAAAGAGCTTCAGTCAGCTCTCCTGTCATTGATATAGGGGAAAGAAACTCCCAGGGAAGATATCTGGGACCTGATAGATATCTGGGACAAAGTTTGTGTTTTCTAAAATCAAAGAATGAATTTTAGGAACAACGGAGGTTAAGAGCAGAATATATTTATTGAAGGAAAGAAAGCTGCTGTCCCAGAGGGATACAGAAGAGGACCCGAGTGGGTAGCCAAGAACCCTGCCTGTCCTTGGGATTTTATAGAGCAAAACCATGAGGTGAGGCGAGTCCAAGGTGGGGAAAAAATGGGAAATCACAATTTGAGCACGAAGTGGACAAAACTATGGTCAGCCAATAAGATTACAAGTATAATCGCTGAGGTAAAATTGATTAAATTGGGGTCAAATAGGGAAGTGAGTCATGTAGCAAGTGGGCTTGAATACAGAACGGGCTTTTCCTGTAGGGCGTTGGGTCAGTGACTCCTGGCTTTTTTAAGGTGATCCGATACCTATTTAGAATATCAATCCCTGGTGTGTATCCCTTGGGAGGTGTGTGGGTGCATTTCTTTTATCTTTTATCTTGAGGTCTGGCCCACAGCTGAGGTGCCAGTCTCTCCCGCAGGTGCAAGGTATGTTGTCTTCCATACTGGCTCCTTCCAGGGCCTAGCTCTGTCTCACTGCCTGTAATATTTCTAATCTAACTTAGCTGCCTACAATAATGTGGTTTGCATTAAGAGTTTGCGAGGTGCAGAACCACAATTCTGTAGTTCCAGATACTGGGGAGGCTGAGGCAAGAAGATGAGTTCTAGGCCAGCCTGTGCAACATAGGGAAACCCTGTCCCAAAACATGCATGCACACTCACACACAAAGTAGTCGAAAACTTATTAGCCAGGCATGGTAGCACATGCCAGCTATGCCTGTCCTTGGGAGGCTGAGGCAGAAGGGTCGCCATGAATCCAAGGCCAGCCTGGGCTACATAGTGAGTTCAGGGCCAGCCTGGACTACATAGCAAGACTAGGTCTCAAAAACCAAATTAAAAAATTTGGTAAGCCTTTTGAGTGATGAGAGAAAAATTCTTGGTGTATTCCTCCACTGCCCATTACGAACAGTGTTACTGTTTTGTGCTGTGCGTTCCTTTTTGCCAGCAGATAGTTTGTGTGACTCAAATCATTGCATTGCAGACTGAGGAGGAGCCCAGCCCTCAGCATGAAAGCCCTGGGCAGATGCATGCAGCGCAGGAGCACTGAGGAAGTTCGCTTTCTTCAAGGATTGTTACCCAGTATCTCCAAGGTCAAATCTCCCCTGGTAGGGTCTCCCTCCTCCTCCTCCTCTGAGCCTTCAGAATGAAATCTTGCTATCATGGGAGTCATTTTCTGAAAACGTCAACAATTCATCTAGCAAAGACAGGAAGGTCACCTGTTTTGTTGCGGGCGGCAGTTACTAGGGTTGAAAGTGGGGTGCGACCTTAAGTAGTCGCTTTCCTTTATTGATTTGTTTGGATTGAGCCCAGGGCTGTACACACGCTAGGCCTGTGCCCCCAGCCTACTCGTTTCTTAATTTGAGACAATGCCTTGCTAAGCTGCCCAGGCCGACCTGGAATTTGACGATCTACCTGCCTTAGCCTCCCAAGAGCCAGCCTTGCCGTGATACCTTACCAACTCATTTTCCTTTTCAGGAGAAAATGGAAGGATTTTATTTTTTTCCCTGTTTTTATGCCAGAAGAATACCATTTGTTAATTCTAAACTATATACTTCTAAAAAGTATGACAAATTTCAGAGAGCCAAGTTTCAAAAACATTTAATAAAAGACTATTATAAAGCATTTATACCCAGTTTTTTTTTTGTTCGTTTGTTTTTCTGGTACCGGGAATCAAACTCACGACCTTGCACTTGCTAGGCAGGTGCTGTGCCGCTGAGATAAATCCCCAGCCCCTATATCCAGTTTTTTAAAAAGTGGAGTAACCAGATATGGTGGCACACACCTGTAGTCCCAGCACTGAAGAGGCTGAGGCAGGAGGATCACTCCAAATTTGAGAGCAGCCTGGCTTGAATAGTGAGTTCAAAGCCAGCCTGAACTAAATAGTGAGACCTTGTCTTCCAAACAAAACAAAAAAGTAGAATGTTTTGCTTTTTGTTGTGTTGTTTCATTTTGGTTTTGGTGAGTAGGCCTCACTTGCAGAATTGAGTGACCAGAAGAATCTGGAAATGATACTGTATTGTCTCTCATCTCCTGTGGACACCCCTCTGCCGATTCTGTCTTAGCTTTATCAGGGCTGCTCTAGCGAGCTTCAGCTTGCAGTACCGCACACCACAGCCCTGGGACAATTGACACACATTGTCCGGCACTCTTGGGATGCGGCCAATACCAGCTCCCTACTGGAAGGAATTTTTGCTTCGGTTCAAAGAGAACCCTTGTCTTTTTTTTTCCATTCCTTCTCCTCCCCCTCCCCTTCTTCCTCTTCCTCCTCTTCTTTCCCTTCCTCTTCATCCTCCTCCTCCTTTTTTTGTGAGTCAGCAACTTGCTATGTAGTTCAGGCTGACTTGCAATTCAAGGGTATCCTCCTGCCTCAGCCTCCAGAGTGTTGGGAGTACAGGCATACGCCATCACACCTGGCGGCCACCACACCTGATGACCCGTGTCATCTTGCAGAGTGCTTGGGTTTAGGGCGTTTTCTGGCGAGTGTCTGTCGTACCCTGAGAGGCAGGTAGGGGGCACCAGTCCATTGTCCTCAGGAAGCTGGGGCCCTGCAGTAAGAGCTGTCGCTGAGGTTACAGCATCTGGGGCCTGATCAGTTCGCCCAACTCTGAGACTCAGTTCCCTGTGAGACCTGTGATTTCAGGAGTGGCTAACTTGCCAGGCTTCTCAGCCACAACAGGTGAGAAGCAGTGAAAGGCTGACACAAAAGCAGCGGGGGGACTGACGGGTCAACAAGGGATAAAAATTACACACAGAGATTGTTTTTAAAAACAGCGTTCTGGAAGCATTTGATCTGAGAGGAGGAAACCCTTCACATGGTGCTGTTCCTGAGCATGAGAGCTTTGGGTGATATTTCCAAGGCACCCAGAAAAGGAAGTTACACTCCAAAATGCCCTGGAAGGGGCCGGGGATATAGCTCAGTGGCACAGCCCCTGTCTGTCAAGCATCAGGTCCTGAGTTTGATTCCTAGCACCAAAAAATATGTATAATAACTTTAAAAAAGCCAGGCATGGTGGTACACGTCGGTAATCCCAGCACTCAGGAGGCTGAGGCAGGAGGATTGTTGCAAGTTCGAGGCCAGCCTGGGCTACAAAGTGAGCTCAAGGCCAGCCTGAACTGCATAGCAAGACCTTGTTTCAAAAAGACTAATAATAATAATACGGGTGACATGAACGTAAGTATTGCGGCAGAAGGTTTGACAAGCAGGACGTCTACTAATCTACTACCAGGCAGGTGCACTTACAGCACGGACGCATTGGACAGAGGATGACTCACTTCCCCGGTGGTGCCAGGCGGATGTAGAGTGCAGCTGGACACTCCCAAATCCCAAGGACCTCACAGTCTTGGGATGGGGACAGAGACAAGAATGCCCCCAAGTACTGGAAAGGGCTGGGTGTAGGCTGGCGACACTGACCTTAACAGCATCTGAAGAGAAGGGTCAGGAGCTTCCGTGTAAAATGAGGGTGTTCCAGGAAGAGGAAAGAGCCCGGGCAGAGGCTCAGGGACGGATATGCCCGGTGTGCTTGGGGACACCGAGATAAGGGCAGCTGAGGTGACACAGATGAGACAGGACCTCAGGAGGGCTGTAAGTTGCCGAGTTGAGTGACCACCCCAGCAGGAGTATTGGGGGGGGGAGAGACAGGAGGTGGCTGAGGGGACAGGGGAAAGCTGTGCCCTGTAACACTTCCAGGGCTTGGTGGCATGGGGGAGGGCACCCGGCAGGCAGAGTAGACACTGAGGCCGGAGGGCAGCCCTTGGTGACCTGCATTGGAGGGAGGGCACTGGGGGTCTGCTTAGCCCCTGGTGGTGCCTCCTCGTTTACGTAAGGGACCCAGGGCCACGGCTGGAACATCACAGAGGCCAGATGAGTCTCGAGGCACCCGAGGGACAGCTGAGTGGTCAGGTTATGTCTGAAGCAGAAGGAACATTACTCAGTCTCAGCAGGTGAGATCTCTTAATAAAAGGTCCAGGCAGGGAACACAGAGAAAGAAGGGAACAGAGAAGAAGCCAGGGGATGGAGGAAGGAGGGGAAGAGACCGGACAGGAAGCAGATGGAGAAACTGGAGCAGAGCTTTGTGGACAACAGTGATCAAGCTCGGCAGAGCCAGAGAGAGAGAGGCCAGTGAGGACCCTGGGCCCGCTGCCCTTGGCAACGAGTAAAAGCGTGGAGGGGTGAAGCAATCGCTTGTTTCCTGACCTCGGCACTTCCCTTAACCTCCCAGGGGCTCTGGGACCAAAAAGGAGCGGCCAGGGCATTGTCAGGTGTCTCCTGGCTGGGATATGAGCCTCGATCTCAGGAAAGCTGTGCAGTTACGGACTGAGCAGAGCAAGTCTCATCATTCACCCAGGGTTATCAGTAACAAACACGCACCTTTCCAGCGAGTGGTGAAACCTCTGCAGTGGTGCGAGCGAGTGGGCTGACCCAGGTGCAGTGCTGGCAGAGACCTTGGGATGCTCGAGGCCAGGGGGATGGAGTGACATTTCTCCCAGCCCCAGCTTGTGCCTTTTTGAAACAGGGTTTCACTATGCCATTGAGGCTGGCCTTAAACTCCCTTTGTAGCCTAGGCTGGCCTTGAACTCACAGTGATCCCTCTGCCTCAGCCTCCTGAGTGCTGGGATTACAGGTGTGCACCACCACACCCGGCTCATAAAAATTTTAAAAAAGCTTTTTCTACCTGGAGGATCCTTGCGGAAATTTAACAAGGGGACACATAAAAGCAACCTTTCCTGCCCTTTTATGGGGCTGCTTCTGTCTGTGGAACACACCTTCCACGTCACCAGTTAGATCACAGTTTTCAGACTCCTGGGCCACACGCTGTGGCCACTGCAGCTCTGGCAATCCTGCTGGGAAGCATTTCTTTGCCTGTGTTTGGTGCCAGGTGTCACCACCATGTTCTAAGTTTCTTGCAGAATGAGGCTGCTGCAGTGCAGGTTAGCGTGGCTGCTAGGGAAGTATCCTGGCTCAGTAAAAACTGTCGCCAAAACAAACAAAAAGGCGTGGTCACCAAGAGTGACAGGTTGCTTACGGACAGACACATGGAGCTGTTTGACCACAAGCCCGCAGGGCTAAGCTGGCCCCAAGCAGAGGCTTCCTCCAGGGCCCTCTGTCTCCAGAGGGCCGCGCGGCTCACTTCCCTGCCTGGCTTCCCTGCCCTAACTTGGACGCCAAGGCCACGCCTCAGGGCTCGGGGGCCTCCCACCTTCCTGTACCCTGCCTATCACAGAGCTTCTCATATTATCATCTTGCACAGCAGCCACACCTGGTGGAAGCGAGGAGACAAAGCTTCATCGACTTCCAAAAATATGTCTCCAGGGATGGGAAACACGGTCTCTCCTCTGCATAAGTTTCCTTTTTGATTTTTGCTTTTGTTTGAGACAGGATCCTGCTGGTACTAGGCTGCCCTTGTATAGCTCAGGAAGGCCTGGAGCTCTCATTCTCCCCGTCTCACCCTCCCGAGTAGCTGGGATTATAAAGTGTCCCACCATGCCGGGCCGAGAAGGCTTCCTCACTGAACTGCTTCTGTCAACTTTTATGTAGGGATGACATTTATCATGAGAGTACACATCTGCGCGGATCTCAAGTTGGTAGCACGTGCTGGTGATCATTATTCTACACAACCCCCAAGACAGCCCTCACGGGGAAGACGCCAAGAGCAGGCTCCCTGCTGTGGGCGTGGGGCCTTGAAGGGGGGTGACCCCAGATACCAGTCACACGGAGACACCAAGTCAGGATGCTGTGATCCAGGGAGCTTTTTATTGTACACCCCCAGGGTTGGAAACACTGATGTTATAAACGCTGCGTTTGACTTTCAAAGGAAAAACCAACAAGCAATCAAGCCAGGTTCAGCGTGCAGGGCTGTTGAAACCGGGGCAACGCTCCAAGGGTGAGCGGCCGTCCACGCTGTGACTGAGGAGAAACTGCATGTATCTCCTGCCTAGGCACCAAGGGGTTGAGCCGCACACAGATGTGAGCTACTGGGTAGGTAGTTCCAAGAAAGCAAAACCACACTCATTACCTGCAATGGGCTGTGAAGCCTGGGTACAGCTGTTTTTTTTGCCGAATAAACAGCTAATCAACCTAAGCAGAAGCTTCAGCCCTGCTGTTGGCACACAAACTTGTACACTCACATGCACGCACCCACACACACAAAGTGGCCTGACTGGGTTGGTGCCCTCCCTCTGGTAGGAGACATCACAAATGCTTCTTTCCTTTCTTTTCTTTCTTTCTTTTTTTTTTTTCCATTGGTCTGTTTTTTGAGATAGACTCACATTAAGCAGGTCAGGCTGGCCTTGAACTGGCGGTGATCCCCCCTGCCTCAGCCTCCTGAGTGCTGGGATTACCTGTGTACACCAAGACTTCCTGCCTGTTACTAAAGCTGGTTCTATTCCTTTGCAAAGTATTCTGACTTCTTATCAATAACCTTGACCCAGAAGGAACACAGTAACATTCTGGTGTGACAGAGCTCTGTGTGAAAATATAGCCTAAGAGACCGACTGGAATTGATTTTATGACCAGAAAATGCCCCTCCGCTATTGCTGCCAGACAGAAGTCAAGTGATTAAGAGTGGACAGGCGCTGGGCTGGGCACCGGATGAGTCATGCCATCGCAGTGGAGCGATGGGCAGGTTGTCACCTCTGTTCCACTTATTGTGAAACTGGATGATAAATAGCCGCCACCATGAACGGCGGGGCAGCGGTGGACATGAGTAATACAGGTAAGCCCTGACGTCATATCTCACCGCTACTCATTCGAGATTAGCTCCAGCCCGCCCTGTGCAGCGGGCCTGCCCCAAACGCACAGGCCGCCCCTGCTCTCTTCCGCCCCGGCTTCCTCCCGAGTGCCAGAGGCCCTTCAGCCGAGCATGTGCCTACACGTAGCACGGTGATTTCTATGTTCCACGAAATTGCTGCAACCCTGTCAGACCAAGATGTGAAAACCTGTGTACAGAATGCGTGTAGCAGCTTCACACAGAGGGGCCGGCTGAGAGCGGGAAGCAGCAAGCCGAGGTCCTGCGGAGGGGGAACACACGTCTGTGCCACAGGACGCAACTCAGCAAGCCAGAGGAATGACCTCACGGCCTAGCGGCTGCCTCGGTGAATCTCCGGAGCATGATGCTGAGCAGGGACAGCCAGTCCCGTGCACGGAATCTGCATGCATCCACGTGCGGCTTCAGAATCTGAGTTGTGATACTGCACCGTGGTGTCACACAGTGCTGCCGTGGGACAACCGGGTGGGCAGCACGGGGACCATCCTGTGCGAATTCTTCCCACCACATGTGAATTTACAACAGTCTCAGAGTAAAACACTGACTTGAAACACACATTTAAAATCGTCCCAACAGAAGCAGAGAGAGTAGACTGGGCCGCCCAGGAAGGGCAAAACACAGCAAGCCTCTTGTGGGAGGATTTTACTTTTTAGTCTAGCAACTTTGGTTTTTTCTTTTTTGGTACTGGGAATCGAACTCAGGACCTTGCACTTGCCAGGCAGGCACTTATGCCCCTGAGCTACATCTCTGGCTCTAGTCTAGCAACTGTACTTTAACATTCTTGTTTATATGCCTGCTTATTCCCCAGAGCGTAGTAATGGCAATATTTAGTCATGTAAAAGGATGTTATTGTCTAATGCAGTCAAGACTCATCATTTTTTAAATTGGAGGAATGGTTTAGAGATGATCTTTTCTACTTCTTTCATTTCAGATCTCAAAACTCAGATGGGACTCAAAGTCATATGGCTTATTAGCAACATGCACAAGGGCCAGAGCCTAAGGAGGGGTCTTTGGATCCAGTCCTGTGCCTCCTGCATAGTTGATAGGGTTTTTTTTTTTTTTTTTTTTTTGTCTTTTTGAGACAGGGTCTCGCTATGCAGTTCAGGTTGGCCTTGAGCTCACTTTGTAGCCCAGGCTGGTCTCGAACTCACAACAATCCTCCTGCCTCAGCATCCCAAGTGCTGGGATTACAGGTGTGCACCACCACGTCCGGTGATATGTTTATTTTATAAAGCAGCTCAAAGCCGGGTGTGGTGGTCCACGCCTGTAATCCCTGCACTAGAGAGGCTGAGTAAAGCAGGAGGATCACTGCAAGTTCAAGGCCAGCCTGGGCTACAAAGCGAGTTCAAGGCCAGCTGAAACTACAGAGCAAGACCCTGTCTCAAAAAACAACAAAAATCACTCAGTTTCACATGCCTGAAGGAGCATCTTGAGTTACTGTGGTCCCTGCACTTGGCGCTGAGATGACTCCCTGCCACCTGGCAGGGGTGGGCCTCAGTGGCTGGGTGGCGCACCCCCCAGGGTAAGCAGTGGACCCAGAGAAGCCAACCAAGCAGGCTGGTAGGTCTCCCCGAGAAGCATGCAAGGACAGAGGATCTCGGTGGGAAGGAAGAGACCAATGCTCGAAGGACCAGCAAACAGAAAACAGAAAAAGCAGAAGCTGAGATCAGAGCTGGTTGAGAACCACCTCTCCACACCTGGCCGGGACTTCTCTAACGGGGCACCCCAGAAATGGACACCCGCACAATTACTTCCTCCACCACTCACAGGGAAGCCAGATAGAGACAGACAGATGGGATCCGCAATTTCCGGAACATCGGCTACTTCCCTAGGCAGGGTCCTCCTGCCTGCGCTCTGGCCTCGGTTTACCCATTCATACAGTGAGACACTGCACTGGCCAGAGAAGCCACTCCAGCCTTTCTCCTAATCCTGCTGTGGCGATGTAAACACAAAAACAGCACACTTACAAAGCGAGAGCTACCCAGGTTGCAGCCGGAGCTCGCTAACCATCTGCCAGTGCAAAACAGACCCGAATCGCGTCTCCAGCTTATTAAATTAGCTCCTGCTTCCCGTGAGGGGTTGTGGAGAGGCTGGCTGCAGGAGAGATGCAGAGAGAGAGCTGCGAGAACTTCGCTCCTCGGGAGGGAGACATTTTGTACGTTGCAAAAACAGCCCCAGCTGCCAAGTGAGTCAGAATTTCCGAAAGGCATAATTTCAGGGCCCTCCTTGTGGTTCCCTCTCCAGGCTGCTTCTGCAGGGGAGGCCTGGGCGGGGTTTCCTGTCTCGTTCCAGAGATGACAGAGGGGTTCTCCCCAGGGCCTTTGCCAGAACTTTCCTTCCACACAGGCTCTCCTCGCCTTTCCTTCCTGTGGCAGCCATTACTGCCAAAGAGGAATCCAAGTGTTTTCCGGGCCGCCCTCTTGCATGGTCTTCTTTATTTGTTTTTTGGTTTTGTCTTTTTGAGACAGGGTCTCGCTGTACAGTTCAGGTTAGCCTTGAGCTCATTTTGTAGCCCAGGCTGGTCTCGAACTCGCAGTGATCCTCCTGCCTCAGCCTCCCTAGTGCTGGGATTACAGGCATGCGCCACCACGCCCGGCCTCGGTCTTCTTTAAAGTGGCAAAAGATCACCACTAAATAAAAAAGTGAGGTCCTGGGTGGGGTGCGGCTCAGTGGTAGAGCGCATGCTTAGATACACAAGGCCCTAGGTTCGGTTCCCAGCATCACAATAATGAATAATAATAGTAACGGCCTATTTGTTTGTTTTGTTTATATTTCCGGTACTGGGGATTGAACCCAGGGCCTTCACACTAAGCTACAGCCCTATAAAACCAATAATAATAACTACAAAATCTGCTAGTACTTTGCAGTTTTGTATGTGTTTCATCACATACTTTGCCCTGTGAAATACGATTGTGATTGCTACCCCTGGTTAACAGACAGGAAGCCCAGTGTCATGGGAGGCGGTGCCATGGCTTGCAAGATTCCCTCAGTTAAAGGAGCAACAGAAGCCGGGCATGGTGGCACAAGCCTGTAATCCCGGCGCTCGGGAGGCTGAGGCAGGAGGATCGTTGAGACTTCGAGACCAGCCTGGGCTACAAAGTAAGCTCAATAGCAGTCTGAACTGCATTGCAAGACCCTGTCTCAAAAAGACAAGGAAAAAAAAAAAAGAAGCAACAGAAAAATTGAGGCCTGGAATCCAAGTCTCCACACTCTCAAAGCTGTGCTCTGTGCCGCCTGAGCGGCTAGAGGGACATTTCCGCTCGGTACCCCTGGCCACCCTGTCTGGGACACTGCGCTGAACTGGAAGCTTTGCACTTTGACCTCTTTGGACATAACAGTCTGTGCCTCATTCGTCTCCATATTCCCAGAGACAAGCACACAGTAGGTCTCGGGTGTTTGATGGAAGGCTGGATAACTGTGTGTGAGGAACTGTAGTGCTCAGACTTGGCCCAGAACCCCAATGCAGGAGCTCAGCTGAGGTGGGTGTGCACAATACCAGGCACCAAACTACAAGATAGGTTTCTATTATTAGATCCTTTCAACAGAAGAGGAAACCAAGGGTGAGTAACCAGCCAAAAAGTTGCAAATTTTGACAGTTTGGCACCAGAGCCTGAGTTCTTAATTCCCAGCTGGCCAAACTCTCTCTCTCTCTTTTTTTTGTACCAGGAATTGAGCTCACGACATCACACTTGCCAAGCAGGAACTGCACTACTGAGCTATTATATCCCGGGACCCTGGACCAAACTCTCTTCCCACAGGACCTGGACTTTGCAGGCAGCCTGTTATCTCACCCCCCAGCAGCACTGGCAGAGCCGGCTCTGTCCTGTACAAATCACCTGGCCCCTTTGTGCCTCAGTTTCCCTCTAACAGAAAAGCACACTTTTCCGAGACAGGTGTGGTGGTGCCTACCTGTAACCCCAGCACTCTGGAAAGCTGAGGCAGGAGCACTGCATACTTTAGAGCAACTTAGCTAGACTCTGTCTCAAAATAAAAAAGGCCAGCAATGTAGTTCTGTGCAAAGGCCCTGCGCTCAAACCCTAGTGCCATAAAAAAAGGAATATATAAATACATAAAATTTTATTTCTTTAAATTAAAAAATTGTTTTTCTTTTTGAGACAGGGTCTCACTATGCAGTTTAGGCTGGCCTTGAACTTACTTTGTAGCCCAGGCTGGGCTTGAACTCACAATGATCCTCCTGCCTCAGCCTCCTGAGTGCTGGGATTACAGGCATATGCCACCATGCCCAGCTCATAAAAATTAAAACAAAAAACAAAACAAAAAAAACTTTCTTCGGCTTTGCAGAAATTTAACAAGGGGACACATAAAACCAACCTGAAAGGCAAAAAGTATTATCCAAATGCAAGGATAATAATTGTTCAGCATGGCCTGTACCTTCAGGGTAGCCGATTTAACCTCAGGGTCTGCAGCCACACCTCTGCTGTAAGATGCTCAATGGGACACCTGGAACCAGTCAGGCGGAAGAACAGCAGAGGCCCTTTGTGTGTATTTTCACCTGACACTCACAATAATTACGATGTAATAAAAAGGATAAAAGTATGGAGGTGTGGTTGACAGCAGCGTTTTAATTTAAGCCACGCCCACCCCCGTGTTAATCCTGGGCTTTGCCTAGTTCTACCTCTCCCTCAGCACGCAAAAAATACACACACACACACACACACACACACACACACACGCACACACCAACACACTCAGTCCGTCACTATCTGGTCCTGTTTGACAATTTAGTGGCTGACTTTTACACTGACTTCTTCTGCCAGACCTGCTAAGAAACAAAAGAGGGAAACAGTCTCTTGGAAGCCTTGGCCGGGGGCCAGAGAAAAACCTGAGCCTGCTTCCCACCGTAAAAGGGCCTGGGGCAGATCACATCCTTCTAGTTTTGCAAGTTGCATCCCTCGTTAGCGGCTCGCCCCAGCTGCCAAGGATGTAATTACCTGGGAACAGATAAGCGCAGGAGATGGATGTTCAAAGTGTGCTGCACGCAGTTGGATGCTGGACGGCATTCACTGCCTCACCTTTCTAGGAGAAGAGAGAGCAGGCCAGGTGCAAGGCCTCCCAGCCACCCAACAGTGGGAGTTTGGCAGGAGGCGTGTGGAGGAAGCCCTCGACCAAAGGCAACTGTTACTGGGAGGCAGGAGATAAGGTCCGGCGGCTCGGAGCCAGCGCAGAGGCTGGAGCCCGGGAGCAGGGATTGGCCCAGCAGTGGGAGGGTGTGCTGACCCGGGCCTGGGAGAGGGGCCGGGCCGCGGGGGAGCCCGCACATTCTTGGGTTTGTGGGAGGTTCCCATTCTGTGCGATTCACGTTCCTCGTGGCCTGGGATCACGGTGCGGAGGGGGACGAACAGGGTGCCTCCCCCACCGAGGCGGCCGATGGGCGTCCCTTTCTTCTCGGACTTCCTGTCTCCGGAGGGGCGCCCCTGCCTGTGCCCCGGCTTGGCTCGGTGAGGATGAGACCTGCTGTGTCGTAGGGAATGGCTGCCCCAGCCACCCCGGAATGAGGCCGGGCGGAGGAGGCAGGTTGCGGACGTCCCTTCAGTCCGCCGTGGACAGCGCTCCGGCCCCGGGAGCCTCGGCCTCGGCCCGGGTCCCCGGGCA